ACGATATTTTTTTTAATTCCTTTTATCCCGTTAACAACTAAATTTAAATTTTCTGGAGATTTAAAAAAAAAAAACTTAACTGCTGACCCCCGAGTCGGGAGAGAGCAAGTCATACATTATTTTCATAATAGCTTAACCAATGTTGACAAAAATTATAATTATGCTCATTATATTTATTTCTTTACTCTTATAACAAAATAGTTTATACTAAATAATCAATATTATGAGCAGTATTCTATTGGTAATCAGTTTGAATTTCCTGAATATCAGCTTTAATTTTTGTTGTTTTTTTTTTCAAGAAATTGCAGTAATTGTTTAATTGTAATTTTTATATAATAACTAATTATGTAAAAATATTTGAAATAAATTCACCTTCTCTAATGTTGAAACTTAAAAAAAAAAACAGTCTTAATTAAAACCTGTATCATAGGCTTGTATTTGTGTTGTCAAGAAAGAGAAGATTTACATTTGAGTTTTTACGAAATCTATAGAAATTTATTAAAACTGAAAAATCTTTATAACCTTTAAAAAGAGCGGACAGATTGAAATCATTGAATGGGTCCCGATTTCACACCTTTGAAAATATATTGGAACATTTAGCCCGAAGGAATGTTCTCACACCTCTCAGAGTTTCAGTCTATACCATGATATACACATATATTCAAAAATTCATCTCCACACTGACTCAGCCACTGATCATGACACGAGGCATTTCCTGTTTATTATCCATTTGTGTATATCTCATGTATCTTGTTTTAGAGTAATAACTCTAAAAATTATATTAAAAAGTTTTCCAATAGCACATTTGATAATGTTGAAGTTTTGGTCGATGAACAATCCCCCCCCCCCCCCTCAAAAAAAGTAGTTTAATTCATTATTGCACTTAGTGACAAGAACTTAGATAACCTGTTTTAGCTATTTATCAAGAGTTGGTTTACAATATTTTGAGCTAATCTTTTTGTTATTATCAAATGAAAACAGTCATTGATATCTGCTGAAATGAAAATTTAAAAAATAACTGAATATAATGTTTCATGGTTTGCTCATTCAAAACTCTATTGCAACTTATTTTCATAATTAAGAAACATCATATATTCCACATCTTTATATCACTCTTATTAAACAAATTAAAATTTGTATCTTCATGGAATACTCTTTATTTCATTTTAATTTTACCAATAACATGTAATGTGGTGCAGATAACAACCAATTACAGACTGAGTTAAGACTCCATTCACTTGTTCTAGAAATGGTAATTTTGATTGCAGAACTTTATAATCATTTGGAAAATTTAATGATCATTGGTAAATGAACATATCAAATTAAGCGAGAAATACAGATCTACACTATAGCTATAACATATTTTTTATCTTATAACTTGTGTGTGTATAATGTTCAGTCAATTGTACTGGTATGTTCTCTTAAATGATTATACCTTTCTTACTTTTCAATAAAATTTGGTAAGTTTAGTGTTAATTTTTCTTGCAAAAGCATGAACTTTCTAAATCTAAAATGATAAATTGTAAAAGGAGGAAATTTTCATAGAGAGAATCCATTATCATGTTATACTCAGTCAATCGTACTGGTGTGTTCTCTTAACCCTTTCTCTTCCGGCGCATTTTACGTGATTTTGGAGGCCTTTTGACATGGCATTATTGAATTATTTCTAACTTTTTTATCCAAGGGGAAAGCTAGGCATAATGCATACCATTTTGTAGGAAATTTCTTACAGATGATATTTTATGACTGTTTAGATACTCAACCACTGACCTTATTAGTAAAAATTGAGGTCAAAGGTCAATTAAGTGCAAAATTTTATGGAATTTTTTTTATACTTTTTCATCTTTAAGCTAAATATTAAGTATGATGTGTGTTGAAATAGGAAATTTGGGATATACCCGCAAAAGAGCATTATACTGTACTACATGAAACACATTAACTTTTTTTTCAATTCTGCATATAACTACTTAAAAGGGGTTGCTAAGCAACGCAGAATTCTTTAATTTTCGGGCAGAAATTTTCATTTTTTACTCATTCTAGACACATTTATGCATCCCAGCACATATAAAAGTTAGATGTGAGGTCATAAAATTACAAGGGACATCAACAGATAAATTGTCTTAAAGTTTGACCTCATTAGAACTATTTTTAGAAGGTCAAATGTCAAATAAGTGCAAAAGTTCATCAATTTTTTTCAACATTTTTTCAATATTCTTGCCATAATTTTACACAATGGATGCAAAAATGGAAAATTCTGAATATACTCTCAAGAAAGGATTAGAACTGCAATATCCATGCATCATTTGAGTTCAAATATATGTTTATTGACCTTTAGGTGGTTGCTAAGCAACATCATTTTAAAGTTTTTGGCTATATACATGTTTGTTATTTCACATTCTGGACACATTCTAGACACTTTTTGTATATTTCATGATATTGTTTGTAAGATATGGGCCATAAAGATGAAAGAACATTTTTGTATTAAAAATTGACCTTGACACTCTTGTTCTGCAGAGGGTCAAGGTCATATCAGTACAGAATTCTGCTTTAAACTGTAAGTAAATATCAATTTTGGAATGCTTCAAACATGGATAAATAATCTAATATTTGACGTAATAAAAATGGCGAATGACAAAATTTGCAAGCAAAGAATTCTGGTCTGCTTCTTACAAAGCCCTAGCAAAACATGTATACTATCTTTTTGTTAAACAAGAAATCCATTCTCTTGATGCCATTAAAAATAATCTTTATTTTCATCGATTTAATCTAACAGGAAAAAAAAAATAAATGATTTCATTACAAGATTTTTCTGGTATAACAGAGCTTAAGGAGTACAATAAAGACTTGGCATGTTATCTTGGAGGGAAATAATAATGATAGAGAGCATTGGCAATATTTAATGCAAAACCGTTTAGTCAATAAGTTGAAAATTTGACGCTTATATCCAAATATACAAATCCAGAAATATTGCAAGATGAATTCCAAATCAGACTGAAATCTTTTACAAAATGTTGAAGAGCACTTTTACTTTGTGTCCACCATTCTTTTATCAACTGTCATTTCTCTGTAAGATTGGAGGAAATTCTTTGACTTGTCCAAGACATTATTATTTGCTGTCTAGTACAAGTGATCAGCTTCTATCCTGTAAAAGATTTAAGTATTTTGAAACAGATACATATCATTGTGTATATAAATTTATATTTATAAATAAAATTAAGAAAGCTAAAATTACTACATTTATTTGATTTTCCTTTTAAAATTAAAATTGTATTCATTATGTGATCCAAGTACTAGTTAAATGATATTGTTAAGTCAATGTATCAGGACTGATAATTCAACAACCTTGTAGTAAACCATCATGGTAAAATTACTGAACTAAAACAAATAGCATATATGGCAATCTGACTAAAGCCAGACCTCTGTTTACGCTATCGCAACATGTTAAAAAATATCTGGCATTAGATTGCTACGAAAACTAGGAAGGGACACGTAAATTTTTCAAAAAAGTAAATAATGATATCAAATCGAATTAGGCAATCCAATCCCACGGATTACTAAATTGTTCCCTCGATTTATAAAACGATATCTCGAATTACACAATCCGATCTTAAGGATTACTAATTTGCCCCCTTGATTCATAATTTGAGATCTCGAATTACATACTGGTTATTTGTTTTCACAGATTGATAATTCAACATCTTGATTTGTTACAACGTCAGTCTTATGATTTTGTAAATCTGTTCTCTTGAATTTCATTACATATATGTACAGAAACATCCAACCATTTTAATCAATAAGTACGTTCTATTTATTTTGTTTCAGCAACCGGTCATTTCCAACCTCTTTCATAACTAATTCAACGTATATTTATTTTAGAAATATTATGATTACACAAGACCCATATTCATTTTTACTATCTAGGACTTTCAATCATTCTAATATACAAGTAACACAAAAACCTCTAAGATTTTTTGTTGTACAAATATCAGTACTAGCACATGGATTTGAAAATGTTCATGTATTTTTCTCATTTTGGACCGTAATATGTAATAAAAGTTAGGAAGTAAAATACTACAATATTCTATTTTTTAAACATGTATTACCATATCCAATATGTACAGATAAATAATTTAAACGAAATCATGGGAAGGGTTTACATTCCAAGGAAATGAATCATTTAAACTAAAAGAATGAATTATACAATCTGAGATAACGGATTGTGTAATTTGAGGAACGAATTGATAATCTGTGAGAATGAATTGGCAATTTCTTATAACAGATTGTCAATCCGAGAGAACGGATTGTATAAATCAAGAACTCGGTTTACTTTTATAAATTTTAAAAATTCTATGTCCCTTCATGGCTTTCATACATTTCATACCTGCATGGCTGCCAGGGTTGTAAAAAGAAAGTAGACAATAGACGCAATGTTACTTCAGGGCAAAATCCCTTGGGCAAGGCTGTTCGTGAGCACGGGAGTGTTGATAAACCATCCAGTGAATTTGACCATCCATGTCTATGATGTCCGATAATTGGAAAGTGTCTGAAAAATTGAGAAAATTGAAATTCTAACCACATACTTTATGCAGATTGGAAATACAACAGCAGTCTATAAAACAGCTTGTTCCATATCTCGGAATTCATTCAGATAGATATTACATGTTTAAATAATGTGTCTGTATGAATAATCAAGCATCATAAGTATTATGTGTTTCAAACACTTATTTTTCAAAATATAAAACTTGTATGCATATGATATCATGAGAATGACACAAATGAAATTATAGACTTTATTTTTTGAAATTTTAGAAATACAGAAATTTTCAGTTCCAAAAAAAAAATTACCTGTTCATTGGTGTCCTTACATATTAATTGACCTTCGTAGTTCATGGTGGGCTTAGAAAGTGGGTATTCACAGATGAAAGTATTGTTGCATATGGTGAAAGCACCCTAAAATTTCAATGTGAAAGTGGTACATGTACACACTGGTACATAGATACTGAAAACAACTATCCATTATCATGACAACTTTGATTTTACTTTGAACTTACGTGTGATTGTCAAAAGCATCAAAGTTCAAAAGCAATGCAAAATTGGCTGAACGATACGAAACACGCACACTGAAACATAAAGATCTAGTACATGTGTACATTTAGTTTTCTTTTGAACGTGAACTAATGCGTTTTAAACTTAAACTTTTCAGTCAATATACACGTATTCTCACCTGCTAATACCAAAGGCATGTCCGTATTATTTGATTCATTGATGTGAGGATCTTCGTCGTGAAATAATCATGAAAATTGACGTTCAGATTTCGGATCACCATTATGTTTACATCAAAGCGGAAACACGTGTTTATTCAATTCGTATCAACTCATACAGTGATGAGTCGTATTTATTTATAAATGCGAGTTTGTGTATTGTTAAATATAGATCTAATTAAATTGCAAATTAATAAGTATACAGTATAACAAGATACAACAATATTAAAAATCTGATTTATTTTTTTTAGTAAAGATCGACGTTTTGGAAATCTACAATTTTTATCAATATATATTGTATATCACTTCATGAAATATACATCATTACATGTAGATGAATAAATCAACATGATTCACTTCACAAAAGGCAGAACGAAAGTATATATTTGTTTTTTTAAATCTATTTTTTTTTTGTATTATGCATTTATTTCAGTAAAAAAATATATTTAAATGGTCAAAAAAGTCTTATAAAAGAATTTGTTGTTTCGAGTAACATGAGTAAGACGCAACAATATCGACCTTGACGTTACATGTAAATATTGACCGATTTTTCCATAAAAACTATGCAAAGGTCACAAATTCAAATTATCTTATTTAAGAAAATACTGAGCGTAAGAAGACCTATAAGGGCTTTTTGGAAAGGAAATGTTCTATACTTTTACCAGCTTTATTTTGTTTTCCCTATTTCAACACAGAAATAAACGTAAAACTGAGCTTTGTTTAAATATTACGAATAAAATCGAGAAAAAACACATAAGTGCAAGAAAATTCTGGTTTTTAAAATATACCTTAAAGTAATAACAATAATTTTTACATATTTTAAAAGTAGAGAAAATATGCTTTAAGAATATACCATGCTTTCCTATAAAGTTAATCAGGAAAAAAATTGTCAATCGTCTGGAAAATCGGCAATCGCTTTGGAAAATTACGCCATTTTCAAAAAGTCTCGTTTGTCTTTACAACGTAAAATTGATTAAATACCGGCAATCAAGATATAATCTTTTTAGATATTTTAAAAGTAGAGAAAATTTCCAAAAAGATGATATATAGCTTATATACCTTTATGCTACCACAAAATAGATACGGAGATCTTATTTTCGCGAAGTCCTGTTTTAACGCGCCACCGGTCAATTTGACCGGTACGGAAGTGAAGGGGTTAAATTGACATAATTTTTTTAATATTCAACAAAATTTGAAAAGTTTGGTGTTATTTTTCTTGTTAAAGCATGAACTTTCTAAAACGAAAATGATAAATTGTAAAAGGTCTCAAATTTTCATGGGGAGAATCCATAATCATGTAATAGCATTATACACAGTAAGTCGTACTCGTGTGATCTCTTAAATAATCATACTTTTTTTTCTTTCCAATTTTTTCTTAGGCAAGTTTGGTGTTTTGTTTTGTTTTTTTTTTTTGTCAAAGCCTGAACTTTCTGAATCTAAAATAATAAACTGTAAAAGGACTGAAATTTTTTCAGAGGGAGAATCCATTATTATGTTATACACAGTCAGTCGTACTGGTGTGATCTCTTAAATGATCATACTTTTTTACTTTTCAATAAAATTAGGCAAGTTTGGTGTTATTTTTCTTATAAAAGCATGAACTTTCTGAATCTTAAATGATAAATTTTAAAAGGATTGAAATTTTCACAGAGAGAATCCATTATCATGTGATACTCAACTACTGATGTGTTGTTCTCCTAAATGGAGATAACTTTTAAATTTTAAATAAAATTTGGCAAGTTTGGTGTTATTTTTCTTGTAAAAGCATGAACTTTCTAAATCTAAAAGGAGAAATTGTAAAAGGACTTTAATTCAACTTTCATAGGGAGAATCCATCATCATGTTATACTCATGCAGTCAATATTGTACTGGTGTGTTCTCTTCAGTGGTCAAGAGGAGAAATGTGTCACCGGGTTCACAGGTGCGTGAAAGTCAGTCAATTTATCGTGTCTCAATAGCTCGATCAGTGGGGTTAGAGAACTGGCATGGTACACCAGAGGCCCTGAGGTGGAGTCCCAGTTGAGACTTGACTTTTACGCCACCAGTGTCATTTTTTGTAGATTTAAATAAGTTATTGAGAAAAGGAGGAAATTTTATTAGCTGCCTTATACAATCATTTTTGATGGTAAAAATGAATTTATTTGGTTTTACATAGTCAGGTACTTGCATGTACCGTGTGGTACATGTATATTTATGAATTTATTACACCCCTTGTTTATGCAGTGAAACATGAGGGGACTATAGGTTTCCTCCTTGTCCTGTCGCCTTTGTGGTGCAGTGGTTATAGCGTCTACTCTAGAGTCGCGACATAGGGAATCGATCCATACACCTGGTTCCAATTCCGTGGGACTTGGAGACTGGTCCTTCAGATGAGACCTATTAAACTGAGGTCCCGTGTCAAAGTAGGTACTGGCACTAAAAAAATACCTCCCTGCTTAATGACCATTACTGACAAGTTTAGGACAAAAACTTGCAGCTCTCCACCAGCAATTTCTGGCGTCTCCAAATGAGTTAAAAATTCTCAAATGGGACGTTAAACAAAATACAATCAAGCAATCTTCCTTGTCTTTCATTTTATTTCATGTAAATTCCCTTGGTCGAGTATTTTATTTGATAACACCTTCAAAATGCTACCATGATTAAATATATCGGAACATTTATTTATAAAGTATAAAATATAGTCATTATAGAGCACAATAAATACTTTATTTAGAATTGGGTCGAAACTCCTGGAGTGAATCTACAAAGTCGGGACGAATCCACTCGTTACCGAATTAGTGGAAGTCTTCAACAACTTGATCAAGATCAAAACTACGTTTTTTAACTGCAGAAAAGAATGCACTCTGTAAATGCATTGTAGCAACAGAGATGCATAAACTCGAAGCCTGGTCTTTTTGCAGTCTGTCGAAAGGATTAATTCACGTACACTTAAATAAATTTTGCCTCATTTATATTCAATTCATTGAGATATTGGTTTAATTTGCTTGAATTAGTCCATAATCATCCCTACGCAAATCGAGGCATGTGAGTATCGTTTAATTTATCAACAAAATAAAATATGATATAACAGACAAACAGTCTCGTACAAGATTTAGCTACGTAGCTTTATTTACCTTCATAGCTTTATTTAAATATATTGTATATCTGTTGAAGTATCAGTATTGGAGTCAGGCAGATGGACACTAGGGGTTCCAACCCCCGCAGACTCTCGCCATTCGTTTATTATGTATTTTTAGCTCACCTGAGCCGAAGGATCAAGTGAGCTTTTCTGATCACATTTTGTCCGTCGTCCGTCCATCTGTCTGTCCGTCTGTAAACTTTTCCCATTTCCGACTTCTCCTCGAGAACCACTGGGCCAATTTTGACCAAATTTGGTACAAAGTATTCTTTGGTAAAGGGGAATTTAAATTGTTAAAATAAAGGGCCAAATCCCTTCAAAAGGGGAGATAATCAAGAAAAGACAAAAATAGGGTGGGGTCATTAAAAAATCTTCTTCTCAAGAACCACTGGGCCAGAAAAGCTGAAACTTATGTGGAAGCATCCTAGGGTAGTGTATATTCTACATTGATCAAATCATGACCCCCCCCCCCGGGGAAGGACGGGGCCACAATGGGGAATCAAAGTTTTACATAGAAATGTATTTAGAAAAATCTTTGAAAATCTTCTTCTGAAGAACCACTGGGCCAGAAATCTGAAACTCAAGTGGAAGCATCCTGGTATAGAGTAGATTCTAAATTGTTCAAATCATGACCCTCAGGGGAAGGGCGGGGCCACAATGGGGAATCAAAGTTTTACATAGAAATATATAGGAAAAAAATCTTTGAAAATCTTCTTCTCAAGAACCACTGGGTAAGAAAAGCTGAAACCTATGTGGAAGCATCCTGGTATAATGTAGATTCAAAATTGTTCAAATCATGATCCCCGGAGGAAGGGCGGGACTGCAATAGGGGAATCAAAGTTTTACATAGAAATATATAGGAAAAATCTTTGAAAATCTTCTTCTCAAGAACCACTAGGCCAGAAAAGCTGAAACTTACGTGAAAGCATCTTGGTATTGTGTAGATTCTAAATTGTTAAAATCATGACCCCCGGGGGAAGGGCGGGTCCACAATGGGGAATCAAAGTTTTACATAGAAATATATAGGAAAAATCTTTGAAATCTTCTTCTCAAGAACCACTGGGCCAGAAAAGCTGAAACTTATGTGCACATGGAAGGATCATGAGGTAGTGTAAATTTCAAAATGTCTAAATTATGATCAGTGGACTAGGGTGGGGATGCATTACGTATTACAAGGGGGGAAATCTGGTAAAGAACAGAATGGTCAAAGCCTCTCAGGTGAGCGATGTGGCCCATGGGCCTCTTGTTGTTTATACATACTGATGAGCCGTATGGCATAAAGTAATTGAATAAAGAATTAATACATTACCTTACTGAGGTAGCTTATTTAGCTACCAAATCAAACTTTTTTTTCTGAAATTAACGATACATTTTTCCCAGGATGTGCACAAAGTTGCACATCAGATGCTGTCATAATTTTCAACATTAAACTCATCAGATCTGAAAACAATTCAATGAAAAATAACTCTTGAAGATATTTTTTTTCTGCACAATTGCAGTGAAAGTTAATTTGTGACCAAATATTTATGTCTTGAATGCATGCAATAACAAAGAAGACCAGTTCTGGTTAACATGAAAATGGATTGGTAACTTTATATATTTATATCATGTATATATATCAACACAATCTTAACATGCTTAAGTGATCAAACTTCTACTTGACCATGCCTCACCATACACAAAGGGCTGGATAGTTACTCAAACAATAGAAATACATCTTTTACTTAAAAATATCTAAATACATCAATGTATAATTTATCTTTCTTTTAAATTGTGTTTTAAAGCATACCATAGTAATGCTAGCCATTCAATTGCGACTTTTTGTCTTTATTAAATGAAAAGCAAATTTGTGAAAAATTGAATTGAAAAAGCTAAATAAAGATACCTGAAGGAGGTAAACAAAGCTACTGTAGGTAATTCTAGCTAAATCTAGTGTTTGTACTGAACCTAGTACTGAACCTAGTAAATGAAAAAAAACCTTTTATTTTTGAGTATCATCATGTGTTGGGCAGGAACGAATGTAAATAATGC